GAGAATCATCTGTTATGAGACTTTGTTTAAAAAAGCGGTTACCCAAAAAAGGAAAATAAGGGTTTACTAATCGACCACAGTGGCGTTAATCAGCAATAAGAGGTACTCTGGGTACCAGCTCACCAAGGAATAGAAGCAAAAAAAAAGTTGAAAAAGCAAACGATCTAACTAGAAAAGGAGTGAACACTCTTCTGAAGCAGAACCGTTGGGCTTTCCAAGTGGAAACCAACTTAAAGTGGAACTCGAGTACCTGGAAGACTCCATCCATAACTTGGAATGGGAATCCTCCAACGGTCTAAGACACTCGAAGCAATTTCTTGGAACTTACGACCGCGAAAATAGAAAATTTTCCTTGATTTAAATAAGAACAGTCTTCGGAATGCCACGGAGTTTTTAACAGGACACTGTCTCCTCTACGAACACCTCTGTAGATTGAAGCTAAGAAACAATGGCGAATGCAGATTCTGTGGGGAAAATGGGGAAAAACTAGAACACCTCTTCACTGAGTATTTGCGTCTAGCCCCAGCAAGGCAACTATTAATAGCTTTGGTTAGCGTGGTTATTTGGAGGGTGTTAATTCATTGGTTAGTTGGTTATTTAGTGGGGTTGGTTGGTTTTTACTAATTTATATTTGTTTTTTAGATATTCATTAATTTTCTTTATTTGTTTGTAATAAATTTTATAGTACGCCACAGCTGTTCTGTATCCGCTTTTCTCAAAAACTTTAACGTGATTGGTCAAGCTTAATAGTTGCCTTGCTGGGGCTTGACACAAGTTCACTGAGTGCGCCGAGACGACAACCATTCGTGCCATAAACTTTGGAATGACTGATATCGGAGATGGACAACTAGACTCTGTGAAGTCATCTCAGATACTGGCTTTTGTCAAAGCCCCAAGACTATATGAAAAAATGTTTATTATGAAATTATTATTATAACAAATTGTGTGTAGTTTTAATGTGTAAAATGTGAACGTGTGTATGGATTGACTTTAATTGTATATTGTCTGATGAAGCTCGTATGAGCGAAACACGTGTAAGTGTTTAGTTTAATATAAACGTTGAGACCGGCCTTTGAGTCTTTTTTTTTCTTTTTAGCATGAATCCGCATGGTTCCGCTTTGTACTTTGAACCATTTTAAACCATTATTTTAGAACATAAACAACAGTAATCTTGAAATAACATGAATATAATGTGAATAAAACACAAAAACTGCCCAAAACGGATAAGTGAATGAAATAAATTTAAAGTTGAGAATTACTTTTAAGAAGCCTTCGTCAACATGCCAATTAAAAATTACACTAGAATTTGTAAATAGTGCGGTATAGTAAAATACGTAATTTTTAAAAGTACGGTTATCTCTATTATTTGAAACTTAAATCACCAATACTACGATTAAACGGGAACAACAACATTTTTTGTTATACAGGGTCGCTGTTATTTATGGAAGCGGTCTATTATTAGGTAAAATATAGAGGTACCGCAAAAAGTTAATTACAAAAGTTATAGGATTTTTAAATTTCTATTAGCGAGTAATAAATTTAAGTATACAGGGTCGGTTATAAAGTCGTGGCGCATCAATGTTTTATTTTTTTAAATAGAACCCCCTATATATTACAGCATATTTCATTTCTCCCTTCAATTCTAAGCAAAAATCGAAATATACACAATGTACCTCAAGCCAACCGTTTCCGAGTTATTGACTTTTGAACATATCACTTAAACAATTTGATTTAATTAATTTCGATATGTTCAGTTTCATTTAACGATGCTATTTTGCCGAAACTGTGATACTTAATAATATTTGACATTAGTTCTTAAGTTAGCATTAGTTAACATTTCAATTCTTCAATTTATGTAGGTACATTGCGTAAGGAAAATTGAAATATGCAATAATATACAAGGGGTTTCATTAAAAATAAATAAAGTTTGATGTGGCACAACTTTATGACCGACCCTATATACTTAAATTTACTAGTAGCTAATAGGCATTTAAAACCCCATTACAACAGTATCACAGTTTCGGCAGAATGCCTTCATTAAATGAAACTGATCATATGGAAATTAATTAAATCAAATTTTTTAAGTGATATGTTCAAAAGTCAATAACTCGGAATCGGTTGGTTTGAGGTACATTGTGTGTATTTCAATTTTTGATTAGAATTGAAATATGCAATAATATACAGGGGGTTCTATTTAAAAAATAAAACTTTGATGTGCCACGACTTTATGACCGACCCTGTACACTTAAAGTAATATATAACTCGCTAATAGAAATTTAAAAATCCTATAACTTAGTCACTTGCTCAAATTAGGAGATGTTGCCAAACTCATAATTCAGTAGCTGAATTCAACCCAGAAACTGATTGAAAATTATGCAATAGTTTTTCATTATTTTTCTCATTTTATCCCACTGGGCGGTACTTTCAACGAAATTCGCAAATTATCCATGCCGCCTTGTACAAAGCAAGCAGTGGAAGAAATTATTGGCGTCATAATGCCGATATATCGACTATTCACTGAGAGTCTACAATACCCTTGACCATTAGAGCCATTACAATCCTGATTTATACACTACTCACAACAAAAGCGTCGTGAGAATCATCAATTTGTTTAATTTGGCGCTAAATCACTGGAAATAATATACCTACTTAATAAAATTTAAAGAAGCGTAAGCTAACGATGCTTTTTTTCAGGTATCAAAAAGCCAGTTTGTGTGGTTTCTGGGGCTAAATATCTCAGTGACGATGGGTGGACAGATTTGCGAAACCCACTGGATACTGACGTTCCATTTAGGATGTTTAGGGATGAAGGAAGAACATATTTACAGGTACAATTAAAGCAATATATTTGTATATTAGAATTTAATATAATAATAATGGATAGCAATATTTTGATTATTTAGAAAAAAAGTCGTACCTACTACCCGTAAAAGATTTCAATCTTTTCTTCATTATGTTAGCAGTGTTAAAAATACAAAGGCCTTGTTTAGATAAAGAAAATACCTTTGATATCTTAATACTACGGCATAATCTGATATGTTAACATTATTTCCCTATTGCTATATTATTATATTACTATCCATTTCTGGTCACTTCAAAAAATATACAGAGATAACAGAATTGTTATATTGTACCGTAATTATTATTGTAGTGGGTCGGAGAACCAGACTTGAGGATAAAAATGTCTGGAAGAATGATTATGGTCTACTTGATGTGTAGAGAACTATCAACTGACGTTTCCCCAAGTACCATTCAGCAACTCTTCACACCTTGCGTTGCTTTTCGAATAGTTGGATCTCCTTCAAAGTTTCAGAGCAGTAAGAGTATTTTTTGAGATTTCTATCAGTTTTAAATTGAATATTTTCTATTTCCAGATGTTACAGAAGTTGCTTTTATTCCCGAGGCTCATTCTAAACAAGAAAGTACCAGTGGAGATTCTCTGAGTGTTTCGAATATGTTGCTATTGGTATATCATCAGTACTTCTTGGACTAATCTACGTAGCTTCTGTATTTCTGTACCTCCATCTAAAGAAAAAAGTTCATCTAAATCCTCCAATCACTGTAAGGGACTTATTATTATTATTGCACTATGAAACAATATATCAGTAATTCAATATTGTTTTTAGCTCGAAGTGACACTATAGGAGCCATGGAAGAAGGAATAGTTAAAAACAATCCTTTACTCTCTATAACACATCATTTTGGTCCATCTGAGAATGCTTACAGCGACAGTACAAGCTCCGACAATGATGTTACACCAGATCTCATACAACATCACGATGTAAAACTGACAAATATCTAATAGGGTGGTCTATTTTACTTCTGCCAAAATAGATCATCCTGTATTATTTGATGTCGCTAATGCTAATATTTTTTACAGACTCAGATTACATCAGCTATAATTCACTCTCAAAAGAAATCCCGATACGATTATTCCAAATCTTATTCTTCTTCTTCAGAAAGCAGTTATCAAGATTCTTCTAGTTTTGAACGTCTTCCTGAAGAAGACGTTTCGATAGTAGAAACGTTAGATGAAAGATCGGAGAGTACAAGAAGTTTATCTGGAACCGTTAGGAAGAAATTGTACTTTAATCCGGCTTATTTTGAACCACATTTATTAATAGTAAGGCTATTAGAATTAATATAATTTAGCATCTCAGTTAAATACATATTTACTTATAGGCTCCACCTCCAGCAGCTTTGGAATTCCTATCAAAAATTCGAGAGGTTATTGCTATAGCCAAGCAAAAAATGTCCGCCAAACGTTTTCAACCATCTTTGCTTAATATACCAGAAGAAGAATCTCAATATTCTCTTGACCCAAGTTTCGATTTTACTCGACCTTCAAGCAGAATGAGTAGGAAGGGTAGTTTGATAAATTTAAAGCGGGAAAACAGCAGAAGGAAAAGCTGTACTGGTTGTCCAGGTTGTGAACCTGATTATATGCGAGGCAAATTGACGGAGCTTCCTATACTTCCTGCCTGTCAAAACTGTAAGAATTTTAAGAATATTTTCTCAATTTTCCTTTTTTAGTAGTATCTTTCTACATATAATAATTATTTTTGTTTTTAGGTAGCACAAATACAGAGAGCAAACAACGGAGCATCAGAAAATGGCTAGAAGACGTACCTGTTCCGAGACTTGATCAAAACAGTAATGTTATTGAGCCAAAATGATACGCAGTCCCAAAAGGTTACGTTCACCAGCTAGGTCTTTACCAACGGAAAGTATCTCATCAGACAGAGCTCTATCACCGCGCCCGCTTCAGAAACTGCTTTATCAAACAAGAAACCAGTTAGACAAGCAAAACGTAAAGAGAAGGTGATCAAGAAGCCCAAACAACCTCCACCACCTGCACCACCACAAATGAAAAGGGCACAAGAAAGATATTATGATATGGTTCCGGTAGAGAAGGAAAAGGAGCCTCAACTTCCTCCTCCGGATATGATACAAGAAGTAAATGATTCCTTTTATCATCCTCATTTTCAGTTTATTCAACCATTTCCAATTATGGTGTAGCCTCCCTCGCATAGTTAGACACTCTCTTTGTAGTTGGGCCAATTGTTGTCTATTGCGAGTCCAAGTTATCCTTGCTAATATCCTAATATCATGGTCCCATCACAAGTTCGGTCTTCTTCGAGGTCTCTTAATTCCTCGTGGGTACCATGCTTTTAGTTTTATGGTTCATCTGTTGTCCGATCTTCTTGTCAGGTGTCCTGTCCATTGCCACTTGAGGGATTTGATTCTTTGGATGACATCTATTACCTGGGTCTTTTGTATGCACTCGTATGCACTCTATTCTTTTCTTGGTTATTCCCAGCATATTAATAAATAATAATAAACGACGCTTTATTGTACAAAAAGCCAAAATAGCTTCATCGACAAAGCATTTACACAACAAACAAAAGCACAGAAAAAATATACAAATAATAATAAAATATCATACAATACAAATCAATTAAAAAAAAATACGTAATTAAAATTACAAATAAAACATACATGGACATTGCAGAATACAGGCGTATCAATAAAATTTTACAAAAGGAAAATTGTAAATGGATGAAGTCATGTAAGAGTTATAAAGTATTAAATACTAGACCTTTAACCAGTGTGTCAGATGATCAAAATTTAAAATTCAAAAATTGTTCATGATTAAAGATCAACAAAAAATTCGTTTACCGCATATAGGGCTCTCTCCAGTATGTATAATTTCAGAGCTTTGCGAAATGCGGGAAAGAAGGAAAGTGACTTGATATTCAAAGGCAGATGATTGTACATTTTTTGGCATTGTACAGTATTGAGCCTTTAACTAGTTCTGAGCTCGGGGTTGGCAGATAAAGATCGTGCTCCGCATTCCTAAGTGGATAGTTGTGAGATGGCCTTTCCGAAATAGCAGATATGTGCTTGCGGATTAAGCAAACGGATTCAAAAATTAATAAGGAAGGAAGAGTCAGTATTATGAAATTTTTAAAGAAATTCTGGCAGTGATTTCTACTGTTCAGTCCCAATAAATATCGAACTGCTCTCTTTTATTTCGTTCCATTGAGCGTTATGCGACCTGCAGTTTCCTTATAATGCCCGTATCTATATAGGTTTCGCATGCATAAGTAGTACACATTGGTCGAATGTTTTCTTCTTTAGATAGAGTGACATTCTAGATTTGAATATGATTAAGTTTTTTCCATAACTACTCCATGCTTAAGTCCGCTAGAGATCTCGAGCGGCTACACAGCCAAACAACTAACACACATTAGTTGTTCTAAATATATACATACATATATTCTTCTATTACCTGGGACTTTTGTCGTATCCACTCTATTCTTTTACGGTCTCTCTTGATTATTTTCAGCATATTTCGTTCCATTGAGTGTTGTGCGATCTGCAGTTTCCCTATGATGTTTGTTTTAAGTGTCCAGGTTTCGCATGCATAGTTCATGACTGGTAGTAGTGGTAGTACATATTGATTGAATGGTTTCTTCTTTAGATAAAGTGGGATTCTAGATTTGAATATGATTGAGTTTCTTCCATAAGTACTCCATGCTAACTTATGTCTTCTGTTGGTTTCTAGTACTAGTGATCCCGAGCTGTGTATTAGTCTCAAATATATATATATATATATATATATATATATATATATATATATATATATATATATATATATATATATATATATATATATATATATATATATATATATATATATATATATATATATATATATATATATAGCATATATTATATATATATATATATATATATATATATATATATATATAGTTATATAGTTATATATATATATATATATATATATATATACATATATATATATATATTCCTACTATTTCCAGTGTTGCAGTGTTGTTTTATTTATTAGAATGTCTTTTCTTTCCGCTAGTTTGTTGTATATTACTTTAGTATTTGCTAAATTCAATTTGAGACCCACTTTATTTTCTTCTGTATTCCTTCCTTTTAAGTATAAAAGTCATAATATATTAATATATTTTGTTTTTGATAGGCTATCGTCATGGAGAAAGCTGAAGAAACAAGAATTCCTACTTTAACGAAAAAAGCAGATGAATGCAGTCATAAACGAGTTGACAGTACATAAACACATGCTACAAGCAGCTAATAGGGTTTTGGCAAAGAAAATTAGTACTGGATATGACACAGATAGCTTAGAAAGAAATAATCACAAAGGTATATTTCTAAATCTTAAAAGAATAAACTAAAAATTCTAAATTTTAATTTTATTAGGGTATTCAACTCCTTCAGAATATGCTGAAGTTTCCTCTTCTCAACCTAGTCCAAGTCTAAGTACTGCTCTACCAGTGGATGAAGAAATTACAATTCAGAACGCCATACTTAATAAAAATACTGGCAATATGACGTTGTCAAAACTAAATATGGATTTCCTAAACGAAGATGATCATGATTACGAATTGGTCGTGATGAAACGTGGTACTATGCTTAATGGAGACTTGTATACATTTCCTGAATTGCTCCAGAATAATAATGGCTACAGCTTGGTCAGCGAGGTGTATGTTAACAATGGATACAACTACGGTAGTAATCCTTCCACGGCGACAAACTCCAATTCTTCAACCTTGGAAAAAAGAGCTTTGAAGATTAGATATGATGGTGGTAGTGAAAAGCCAGGAAAATTGCTTATAGAAGTAGAAGACTGTTTGGACCATTATATTCCAATAAACGATTCTGATGAGTTCGAACCTGATACTTTTAGACCGTCCGAATAAGCATGCAGATAAGAAAACCCTTTGTCATGAGGATTCTTTGAGAGACCTAATCAAATCCTACTCAAAACTAACGGCAGTTTTATATGCGAGATAAACAATGTAAATATGGATGATTCCGGGAAGAGTAATTTTAAAAGAGAGTTTGGAAGTTTGAGGGAGATGTTTGAGGAGAAAAGAAAGCAAGCCAGGGAACACGAGCAGTTTCACTTGGATTCTGGTGATACGGATAGTGAAGGGAGACTTCTAACTTTAGAAGAAAGACACTTAAAAAGACAGAGAATTAAAACAACATCGTCAGGACCCACAGTTCAACCCGATGTTATTCCTCCTCCTCCTCACGATGGTTCTCCTATATATCAGCGTCCAAAACCTCCAAGAAAAGTGATAAATGCAGGAACTAAAGAGAATCCTTCAGGAAAACCTCCAATTCTTCCAAAAAACTCCATTGACAGGAGTGCCGACTTCAAGAATAGAATGCACATCGCTCAAGTTGACACTCCTGATACTGACGTCGAGTACAAACTTTGCGTTCTTCAGAAATCGAAAACTGGCAACATTACTGATTTGATCCAAACGGAAGATATAATTTTGAAGAAGAACCACCAAGACCAGTTCGTTTTACATTCAAAAATAAACCATTCGGGCTATCAGGTGCCTTTGAAATTGTCTAAGTTTCCTAAAGATAAGTACGGGTCTTTGGAGGTCTTCTTGAACAAAAAGAACCAAAAGAAATCGTGGAAAGGTACGATGAAACCTGATGATTCCGGATACTTA